GTTTAAATATTCACAAATAATATTTTATTTTAAAATACACATACAATTAGGAGTTAATTTGTGCAAATGTTGTAAAAGCAAAACAACAAAATGTTCCTTGCCACATTCGGTTACGAATTACGTGAATCACGTAAATGATCAAAACGGTCGTCGCATCACAGAAATCACAGAATATTACTGTTGGTTATTTAACATTTCTGTTGCAAAACAGCTGTCAAATAATCCTACTTACCCTACTTACCTCACACTCTTTCACTGTTAAAAAATGCTGTGGTGTCGCGCTGGAACAGTAAAGCCCCGCCCTTCTTTGATTTGATTGGCCATCTAAATCATTCTGACATTGACGAGCGCTGTCTGGGGTTTATTTTTATTTTTATCATAAATAAATATTGAATTTGGCAGGGACATTTTTCTGCGTGAGAAAATGGATGTGTGGCGTGAGAATAGTGTCAAATGCGTGAGAGTTGGCAGCCCTGATATATATAGGCGGACGCACTAACAAGGAGGCTAAATGGCTGCAGCCACTCGCGTCAGTCGCTAGTGCGTCTCTTGAGATCAGGGGAGTGACGGTTTTTCTTTTTTCTCTCTAACGTTACTTATAGGAAGACTCAATCTGAGACGCCGCCCTGTTGTTAGATCTCCCAGTATGTCAACTCACATGAGGCTTGTGTTGCATTTGCTAATGCTCTTCATATTTGCTGGTAAGTGTTTTAAAATTTTAAATGAATAATTTGAATAATAAATGATGACACACACCATTTTGCCATTTAAAATAAGGAAAGAAAATGCTAGCGAGATCCAGTAATAGTAATATTAAGAGTGTGTTTTGCAAAATCTTGTCTTCATTTTTTCTGAAATTTAATAGCATTTAAATGTGTTAAACTGATCATATTAATAATAAGCATAAGAGTTTTTGTAATTTAAATTAATTTCTAAGATAATGTGTTGTTGTGATAAGCGCTACAGTATATCAGAACTCAATATGTATTAATGATTTTTTAAATTAATTTATATATATATATATATATAATATGGTATTTTATATAATATACC